CATGACAACGTAAGTTCACTTACAGCCTTCTTCTCACTGCCTTGTTGGAACATGATGAATCTGTATAGCCTTTTAATCTACTTTCTGTATAATTCTGTATATTTAGCATAAAGATCCTAGATAAATCACAAAGGAAGGAAAAGTGAATCCTTACAAGTATATTCTCAGGGTTAAGGCGCTAAATAGATAAATGCCTTGAATCTTCTACATTCAGTCAACACGACATTTAATGCAAAGACTAAACCATCAGTCAGATTGTGAATTGGTAATTTTTTATTATTTATTTATTTTTATTTTTATTTTTTGTGAGATACAAATGAACTTCCACTCACAATTGAATTTTGGCAGTGAAGACTTTTTTATTACGGGAAATTCTTTTGCAACCACATTCCTTTATAGTAACTAGAAAAATGCTTGCGTAGGCACATGGATAACTCATCTGATTGCATATTTGAGCTGGAACAACTAAGAACCTAAGAGATCTGTGAGGCTCTCATGAATTAACTGCAACATTCCTTTAGTTTACTAGCTAACCTCAAAGATTATTCCTCCGTTTGGCAAATCTATAAATGGTTTGTAGATAGGAATAGTAAGAAGAATGGTAATGGGTCCCACGAAATGTGTGGATAATAATGAGTAGTAGTTATGAATGTGACTTTGACTAAATTTGTATCTGAATGGATTATAAAAAATTATTAAGTAGCAGAGCTGTTTTATAAAGTTGAAGTATTTCAAAATATTTGTTCACACGGTCTAAGATACAACTATTTCCCATGTATTTTCCAAGAAAACATATACGTAATCCAATCCTAGTGGTATACACAATGCAATATATGTTCTATGGGGGAAGGAGTAGCCTCTGCCTTTCTGGAAATTTTCTTATATTCTTACTGTAAAGAGGATGGTTCATTCTTAGTTACAGAATTTTTTCTCACATATGATGTGTTAAATTCATGTCTCAAATAAGGCAAGAGTAAGCATGTCAAAAGGAAATCCTGCACAAATATTCAAGATGTACATTAAAAGTGGTTATGCTGACGTCTAAATGGCAAGGTCTAATATTTAAGCATCCTTCGCAAGAAAAAGTTGTTGATATATAGGTGGAATGTGACCAGTGTTTCTGTTGTTTTTGCAGTTGTTCAACCATTGGTGCTATTGTGATGACACCGCTCCTCACTAAGCTTCTTGCTGGTCAGCTTGTACCAGTTGATGCAGCTGTAAGACTACATATTGATTTTCCTCAAAATATATATTGTGAATTTTGCATAGTTGAACAACTTGTATGCATCCTAGATATAGCTAGTAGAACTAGTAACTCGTGCTTGCATATTCAAGGGAGGATAATAGAATGCAACTGTAAGCTGTGACTTAAATGCTTGTGGGATGTCAGATTCTCCATAGTGTTAAGATATAAACTAGTGTATAGACCATCAGATAACTCTGCTAGCAAGAATCTCAAGGACACCCTGCACATCTGACTGACTTCATATCTTGTAATTTGCTTGCAAGGATGATTTTCTTCCATAACAATTAACACTTACATACTTTTTGTTATATTACAGGGTCTAGCAATAAGCACTTTTCAGGTTGTGTTAGTGCCAACAATTATTGGGGGTAACCTGAGAAATTTTAATTTCTTTTTTATTTTTCTAGACAAAAATAATCTCTATTGGTTGTTAAATAAACTTAAATTTTTATCTCCTGGATCTCTCACTTGACATGCTTACTTTTTTTGGCAGTGTTAGCAAATGAGTTATTTCCAAAGATCACATCTAAAATAATTACAGTTACCCCTTTAATTGGAGTTATCCTGACCACCCTTCTATGTGCGAGTCCGGTAAGTTCATTATGTACAACTATGGAATCTGTATATTATTCTATAGACATTAGACAGTGTTGCTCCCTGCCTCCATTTAGCACATGTTGATGTAGAGCTTCTTTGTTTTTTCGGTCATTAGATTGGGCAAGTTTCAGAAGTCCTGAAAACTCAGGGGGCACAATTGCTATTCCCAGTGGCTCTGTTACACGCTGCAGCATTTCTTATTGGTTATTGGATTTCAAAAATATCATTTGGTGAATCAACTTCTCGTACCATTTCTATAGAATGTGGAATGCAGGTATATCCCATCAGAGTCCATAAATTTTGTTTATTTGTGTAACAATGTGGTTTATTTCTTGAATTGGAGATGCACCCTGCAAGCTACATGTAATTGGATCAATGTCTTTATCTAGCTCAATTCATCAACGTAATTCTCATTTTTCTAAACTTTTACTGCTTGGAAGGTGTTGAAAGAGGTTTGAGAATCTTGTTATCTCACGGCTTTAGATGCTTGCTCTTTTATGGATCTGCTTCTCTGCAATCAAGGAGAACAAGTATTGATGTTATAATTATAAAAGTATATCTTTGAGGCATATGAAATATTCTCAAACACGAATGGAAAATGCTGAATCAATCTGGACCCATGCTGAATTTGTGGAATATAGCACTTTTATGTAAAATGTTCTTTATGAATATCTTCTCTTGGTGTTATATTTATGATCTGGAAACACTATGCTATTATTTTGCTGTCTGATTTTTATTTTTCTTTCTAAAAGAATATGTAGTGGTCTTGACATTTTAGTCGATGCAATATTAGATCCTTATAGCTTGTGCAGTGAAGTATTAGTAGTAGAGCTTAATACGATTTGCATGATATTTAGAAAATAGTATGTAAACATTTATCTTTGATGTTATTGTTGACTTAAGATCTGATTTGCTCCTGAACTTAGTTACTTGTGCATGGATGTTCCGGAATGGACTCTAACGGTTTATTCTTTGTTATTAACAGAGCTCTGCACTTGGATTTTTGCTGGCCCAAAAACATTTCACAAATCCTCTGGTAGCCGTACCTTCTGCTGTAAGCGTTGTCTGCATGGCGGTGAGTATGGTTCTGCACTTAAAAAGAATATATTTACATGCCTTTCATTTGAGCATTGCTGAAGTAGTAGTATAGTTTTCGTACGTATACTTATGCAACATACATTTCATATGTGAGTTTTACAGCTAGGTGGAAGTGCTCTTGCTGTTTACTGGAGGAACAAGCCAATCTCAGTCGATGACAAAGACGACTTTAAGGTATAAGACTTGTAGATGTTAGTGTGGACGCGTTTAGCTTTTCTTGAAGTATTTTTGGGATATATTTTCAGCAATTTAGCCCCCCTCCTAGCTTTAGTTACACAAAAGGGCCAAGTTTTGGCTTGAATGACATGTACGAATTGATTGGAAGTAATTTAGAAAATGGCTAGAGGAAATTTCACATTAACTTGTATTTTTTATTTTACAATGAGATTCAGATGGAACATTTTGCACATTTCAACAGGCTTGAAAGCTAAGGACCCTTGTTCAAGTGGCCATAAACAAGCCTATATAAAAAACTTTTGGGGGTATCATTCAGTCACAAACATCCATCACTAATGAATCATAATATTTAAATGTGCATAGCAGAGATCAATCTTACGAAACTGTTGGGGGTCCTATTTATAGACTCGTATTGAGAGTGCTGGTTGGGAATTTATAAGAGTATCCCAATCAAAGAGTCGACATTGTAGAGGCAAAAGTTGCTCTCTATTTGACGAACGTCGTGAGTCTGTCTATGTATGCCAATATGTGATAATTCTATAACACCGAGCAATGAAACCGCAAAAAGAAAATTGATACACAACAACACGCAAGATTTATTGAGGTTCGCTTCATTTTGAAATTACTGTCATTTTTCGTCAATGCAATAATTAATTATGATGAAAAGAAGTTTATAAGATAAAAGTTTCATAGTCTGTTTTCTCTAACCTCTACATCTCCTTTTATGATGATTACATCCCTAATAACAGCTTGTTAATTATAAGAAATATTAGGGTAAAATTGAAATTCAAAATGTGGGATTCCTAAACTATCATTAATGAAATTTTGGTCGATCGACATAACGATATCGTGTAGCGACAACAATGGGTTCCACAACTTAACCTGATCAGCCCACATAGACGACCCGATTATTTTTTCCAACAAATCATATTCACACTTATGCTAAAATTTATTGATTGAAAGTTGAAACTGATCATATTTGGCCTTGGAAGATGCAATTGCATTTCTCAAAGTGTACCATACATTTAATGAAGACATGAAGGTGAGACGTTATCTAAGTTTCATTTCTGCATTAGATGTTTTTGCATCAATTTTCTGACTCATTGCGGCTGTGTGGGCATGCATGCTCATCGTTTCATGGATAGGCCATGCCCTTATTGAATATTAGATATTAGAAATGAACAAAAGGTTACAATCTTGTTTACATTGTTCAATCATGTTTAATACACGATTACAATTTATAAATAGAATAATGCTACTTGCAGTCGCTCACTGCAGCAGTCGCCCTATGTGACACACACATGACAAGTATGTATTTGATGCATTAAATGTGATAAAAAACTACCACATTAATGCATCAAATAACTACATGCCATGTGTGTGCCACATATGGCGAATGCTGCAGTGAGCGACTGCAAGTAGCATTATTCTTATAAATATGATAACTTTGAATGAATCGATTCGAACTTGTGTCGCTCGTTATAGCCTGAACCTAGCAGAATTTCAGCCCTAAATCTGATTTGTTTCAATAGAGAAATGAAAATGAAAACATTATATCATCAAATTCACGCTAATCATAGGGTTTAAAATTACACAAGTTCAAATATTTTTATAAAAACAATTAGTTGTATATCATTTCTATCTGCTATTGCACAAATTCCAACCTGCAGGAAACCGTTGAATGATTATTAATGGTGCAGTATGGGAAGACAATAAGTACCTCAAGTAACAAACTCTATATATGCACACATCATACAAAGCTCTTCCTATACAAACAATCTCAGGTGATTTAACAGCTTCCAAAGAGTAGAAAATATAAGAAAAAATGAACAGAAAGAAGAATCTGTTTATTATCATTTGCATTTTAGTGGGCACATTGGCAATGGTAGCAACAGCTACAATGGAAGACGACGAAAAAGATTGCGCAGAACAACTAACAAATCTTGCCGCGTGCATCCCATTTGTCAGTGGCACAGCAAAGAAGCCTACTCCTGAGTGCTGCCAAGACACCGATAAAGTTAGGACTGCAAAACCCAAATGCTTGTGTGTTCTTATCAAAGAGAGCACTGACCCCTCAATGGGACTTCCTATTAATACCACTTTAGCTCTTCAAATGCCTGCTGCATGCAACATAGACGCCAAAATCTCAGATTGTCCTTGTAAGATATATATGCTCGTACTGTATATTCTGTATGCTGGATTAGACAGTACTCGCCACTTAATTTGATGAGTTGATAATAATTTTGTTTTGTGATTGCAGCTATACTTAAACTCCCAGCAGATTCACCTGATGCCAAGATATTTCTAGTAGCGGGAGGAGATTCAAGCACATCAAGCTCTTCGCCAGTTTCTCCTTCTACGTCATCTTCTTCCTCGACAGGGTCAAGTTCTGATAGCAAGACAACTGCAGCAAGTAGCAATGGTGGAGCAGAGACTACTGGTAGGGTCTTTTTGGTGATGGGATTGGCCTTAGTTTCTTTGGTCTTGGTTTAAATTTTATGCTGTATGAAAAGGGGATGCGCCAACAAGAAAACTTTCGTTGCATACGATCAAAAACTGCAACTGGGCTCATCGACTTTGTAGGACAATTAGAATCAATAATTAGGAATTTGTACTTCTCGGTGTTTCTTGATTTTCGTAATATGAACAATAAGACAATATGATCTTGTATGGAGATTTTGGATTTCTATTTCATTAGAAGATACATTTCAACCAGCATGAGTATTTTCCTTGATTTGGGACTGCTAGTGAATCCAGGGTTATAACTTAGGCCTGTTTGATTGCAACGAATTCTATGGAAAATGTCACATCCGAGAAAAACGAATTCTCTTTAGCCGTTTGATTGCAGCGTGAAAATGGAAATCGAATTCCAAAGTACACCCACTTTAAACTGTATTTTCTTTGTTTTCATGGAAAACGAATTCCTGTAGATTTGCTGGGTTTTTATTTTTCAACTAACTTGGAATTGGAATTCATTTCCATTTTTACCTATTAAACGGACCCCACACATTGACTCTAAATGATCAAGTTGTGCACCTTGCACAACTGCAATAGAGGGGATGAATCTCACACACACTGAAATGCTAGTCTAGAGACAATATAAGCACGGCATACATCAGTATATCACACTATAATATTTCCAGTCACGTCTCTTAACTGAAAATGCTAGAAAACAGTGGTATGAAAGCTCAAAAAGTGCATTATACAATAACAAAACATACGTCTTTATTTGCCTTTGTGGACTTACACGATATACACATATCTTACAAGATGAATTTAAATAAAATGCCATTACTTAAACATACGTTAAAAACCTTCCTTTCTTATACGAACTTCTTCCATCAAACCTTATATTTTTAAAAATTCTTAAATATATTCATTATTTTTCTTCATTTGTTTCTTTGTCAACCCTGTCCCCTCATTCCATGTGCTTCCTTCTCCCTTCACCGTGTGATCCTTTGAAAATCCGCAAGTGCACGAGATCATGGTCAAGTAATATAATAAAGAATACAGTGTCAAACTTACGAGAATTATGTGTTTGACCGACTTAAAATTAATTATAACTTTAATTGAATA